AGGTGCCCCGGCCTTTCAGTGGATTAAAAACAAACAAAACAAAACAAAACAAAACAAAAACATGTCAGGGGCACTGGGTGGCCCAGTTAAGCATCCAACTCCTGATTTCAACTCAGGTCACAAATCTCAGGGTTGTGAGATCGATCCCCACATTGGGCTCCACACTGTGCATGGAGCCTGCTTAAGATTCTGTCTTTCCCTCTCTTTCTGTCCCTCCATGTGCCCCCCCTCAAAAAGCAAAACAAAACAAAACAAAACAAAACAAAAACACTTTCATCTAACTTTTCTAGTGTTTTTAGAAGGAAGGTTGATTTAAAATGGCTTACTCTGTCATTGCAAGAAGTAAAACAGTTTTAAGTATTGGTTGAAGGACTGAAAAAAAAAAAGTGTAAGTAAGCAAGAGCTCCCAGTCCCACTGTGCCTCTTTATATTTACAGTTGTTAGCAATCCCTCAAAGTCTACAACCTCTGATGGTTGAATATATTGTTTGTGTTCCAACCTCTGTTAGTTCCAGGCTCCATCAGCTGGAGGTAGTATAAGTATGTCCTCCATTTTCTGCAGGAACTTATAATCTTCTGGGTTAACCTCTGAGTGTAGGGTTAAAGGACAAGTGATAGGACTTGAAAAACAACTTTGTAGCCCTTGCTGCGGATGAACAAGCCAGTCAGGCAATAGACTGTGGGAGGTTATCAAACACTTCTCTTAACCATTTCACAAGACAAACTTTACTCCACCTATGCCTCTGCTTTCCTCTCACTCCTCTGTTGAACTCTGGTGTCTACAAGGCTTTGGATGCTTAATATATTTGAGCTTTATACAATCCTTTAACTTGACCATTCTCTTAAAATAAACAATGAATTCTGGTACACTGAAAAGAAATTAAAAAAATAAAAAATAAAAAAAATATTCTTTCTTCCTACATGTGGACCACGTATCATGGAGATATTTTGTATATATCATTTTGGGAGTTATTAGTGTTTGTCATAAGAAGGTCTATTTTATGATTTTATTCCATTTGTTACTTTTGAATATGTACTGGAAGCTGATGGCTTTGAAAAACCTACGTTTCTCCTACTACTGCACTTTTAAAATGACATTTGCCCAGGGAAATGATTTCTGTTTTAATTACTCTGAAGACTTCTCTATTGATATCATCAGCTAAATTATTAAAAATTAAGTAGACAATATAATTATCTAAGTAGATATGACATTTTTCAATGGATTTTTTAGTCTGTATCTGGTCTGCTTTCTTTTCTACACATCACACAAATAATTTCAGATTTCAAAGTTATCTAACAAGTTTTTAAAATTTTATTTGTATTTATTTGACAGACAGAGATCACAAGTAGGCAGAGAGTCAGGCAGAGAGAGAAGAGGATGCAGACTCCCCGCTGAGCAGAGAGCCTGATGCGGGACTCGATCCCAGGACTCTGGGATCATGACCTGAGCCGAAGGCAGAGGCTTTTACCCACTGAGCCACCCAGGCGCCCCTTATCTAACAATTTCTAAATGTTGAATAACTTATGTTATAACATAGTCCTTTAAAGGAAAATGGGAAGTTTTCCAGTACATTACACAAAATCTTTATTTCAGTAGAAACAATGACAACTAATATTTATTGCTGGCCATGTTCCACTTCTTGCCTTTGGTTATACTTTTGGTTTCGACTCATTCCTTGTGAGTTGAAGGAATCCTCAAGGACGTAGAATGATCCTGGGCATGTGTTGCTCATAAATATTCCTTTGGTTTAATGATATGCTTCAAATAAGGTAATGTCTTAAATGTGTTCTGCTTACTAATGGCCTTTCATTTTGTTAAGTTTATGATGAATACTTTAAATTTACCATTGTTTTAAATGTTTTACCTACATTATCCTATTTTATTTGAATTATTATTTATTTCATTTTGTAAAGGAAGAAATAGATTTATAGATAAGTGTGTTGTTTAAAAAAGATAAGAGGTCATAACTGGGAAATAGTGGAAGAGGGGCTAAAGCCTAGGTATTTTAATCTCTGAAGCCTTAATATCTATGTTATGTTACAATTTCTTAAAAATAGAACTTCACCTTTGTGTTTTACTATTACCAGCATAAATGCACACATATGCACGTGCACACATGCACAAACACATGTAAAGTTCTAAAAAACAGTAAGGGAATTGTAAGTAAAACACAGATCTGTATTGGAAGTATTACAACATCAAAAAGGAGAAGAAAACTGGCAAAAAGATTGAGAATACATCTACAATTTTGGAGAGTCCAAAACCAGATGAAGATTTCAACAAGATTAGTGTTAACTACAACGTAGTAGATTTAAGAAATAGTTACATGAATATCTCAATAAAGCTGGAAAGAACTGAAGTAGTTGCTATAAGAAAGGTAGATATAATATATATAATAATGCTCAAAGAGTGTTCAGAGCTTGAAAGCATAATAAAGGAATAAAAGTGTCATTGAAAGCTGTGAAGAGTATAATTCATTCAGAACAAAGATTAAGTTATAATAAAATATATATGTAAAGGAATGGCAAATCACAGCTAAGGTGTACAAAGATAATGCAAAAAAGAAATTGATTTATTCATATAACAGCCCTTTAGTGAGTACTTACAACTAAGTACTAGGTGCTTGATATACCTCAGTGAACAAAAAAGCTAAGGCTGTTTACTTGTGGAGCTTACATTCTTTAGAGGGAAGACAGTTGATAAACAATTTAAAAATATGTATATTAAAAAAAGATTTCTATTTCATCTCAGCAAATTTATATTTCAAATTAAAAAATATGTATATTAAATATTAGGTGATAATAAGTGATCTGGGGAAAAGGGTCTTGATAAGGAAAATAGATTATCCTTGGGATGGGGATGAAGCTGATATTTTATACAGGGTGGTCAGGAAAGACTTTGTTGATAATGTGATCTTTGAACAGAAACCTGAAGGAAGTGAGGGAACAAGCCATTGTGGACATTGAGAGAAGAACATTTTAGCTGAAGAGATTAGGAAGTACTAAGCTTGTGAGGTGGGAGCATGCTGAGGAACATGAAAGGGAAGTTAGTTCTGAAGGTTGTGGGGATAATTACAGGAAGAAAGATGAGGGAGATTCTAGAGATATATCATGTAGAGTTTTGAGGTCATTATAAGGCTTTTCTATGACGATGATGGCATGCCTTTGGAGGGTTTTGAGCAGAGGAATATCACAATCTGATTTATGCTTTAACAGGGTCATTTTAGCTGCTACCATGAGGATCCATAGTAGAGGGCAAAAGAGGAAGCAGGGAGATCATCTAAAGAGACTATTTAAAACTTCAAGAAGACAGCTATTTGGGAGGGATGGAAATGGTGGAAACAGTGATAAGTGGTGGAATTTCAGAAATGCTTGGTAATAGATTGCATGTGAAGTATGAAAGCAAGAGAAGGGTCAAAGATTATTCCAAGTTTTTTTTTTTTAAGATTTATGTTTATTTATTTGAAAGAGAGAAAGAGAGAGAGGACATGTGCACGAATGTGGGGAGGGGTAGAGGGAGAGAATCTTCAAGCAGACTCCCCACTGAGTGGGGAGCCCTTCATGGGGCTTGACCTCACAACCCATGAGATCATGACCTGAGCTGAAACCGAGAGTCAGATGCTCAACCAACTGAGCCACCCAGATGCCTCAATTATTCCAAGTTTTTTAACTAGCTCAAATGAATGAACAGATTTTCCATTTACTGAGATGAGGGAGACAATGGGAAGAACAGGTTTAGGAGTTGGATACCTATCCCCTCTGCAAGATGGAAATTCAAGGTTAAAGTCAGAGATTGAGAAAAAAAAATGTGGGAATTATATGAGCTCCATGAGGTTATTAAAGGATGAGGGTAAATTGAGAGGGAAAGAGGTTCAAGGCTGAGTCTGGGGAATTCTAACATATGGAGGTCAAAGAAAAGAAATTTCCAGCAAAGGAAACTGATGCAGTCCTCAATGAGGTAGAAAGAGAACCAAGAAAGAGTGGTGTCTTAGAAGCCAAGAGGAGAAAACAGCTATAGAACAAAGACAAAAATCAATGGACCAAATGCTGTTGAGGTTGAATAAAATGTGGTCTGAGACTTACAATCACTGATCACCTTGACAAAATCCTGGCTGGGGTGGTTTCAAGACTAGAATGATAGAAGAGGAGGTGGAGACAGTGAGTATAGGTAACTTCTTCAAGAAGTTTTCATGAAACAGCATAGTATGAAGTGTAAGTAGAGGAGGAAGTGAGGCCACATTTTTCTTTTTATAATGGGAAATATTATAGCATATTTATGGGAGTGATCTAGTAATGAAGAAACATTTGCTGATGTAAAAGCAAGAGGAAACATTTCCTTATTTGATGTCCTTTGGTGGGTGAAAGGAGAGTTGACCTCGTGCAAAAGTTAGCTTTAGCTGTGAACTAAGGATTGCCTAGCAAGGACCATGTCTAATCCCTCTGCAGTAACAGGAAGAAAGTCAGAGTCAGGAGAGATATGGTGATGAAATCATATGGCAGTTCTCACAATAAAGTTTCTCACTGAGGGGCACCTTAGTGGCTCAGCCAGTTAAGCAACTCCCTTCAGGTCAGATCCTGATCCCAGAGTCCTGGGATGGAGCCTCACATCAGGATCTTTAATCAGCAGGGAGCCTGCTTCTCCTTCTCCCTCTGCCTGCCACTCTCCCTGCTTGTACTCTCTCTCTCTGTGTCAAACAAATAAATAAAATCTTAAAAAAAAAAAGTTTCTCACTGAAATGGGTAGCAAGTTCATGGACTGATTATGTAGAGAGGGAAGGAAGTTAAAGAGGAGAAGGTGTAACCACTTGAGTAGGAAGTGCAGTAGGGTTCTCCAGAAGCACTACCGGCCTACTTGAGATTAGGTATTAGGAATTTCTTCTTTCTTTTAACAGCCTATAGCACTTAGCATTCTCAAGCAGTCTCCCATCCAAGTACAAACCAGGCTTGACCCTGCTTACCCTCTGAGATCAGATGGGATCAAGTGTATTCAGGGTGGTACGGCCATAGACAACAATTTAAACGGAGACTAGTCAATATATTTATGTGTTCTTCACCTACGTTCAGCTACGGGTACAGTGAGTTGGATATATTTACAGTTGGATTTTACTAAATGTGATGGTTAATCTTATGTGTCAGCTTGACTGGTCTAAGGATACACAGATAGCTGGTAAAATACTTCTGGTTGTGTCTGTGAGGGTATTTCCAGAAAAGAATAGCACATGAATTAATGAATCCCAATACAAATGGCCTCGTCTAATGTGTTGAAGGTCTGAATAGAACAAGAAGGCAGGTAAAGCTTGAATTCACTCTATTTCTGCTTGAGCTGAGAGATCCATCTTTTCCTACCCTCAGACATCAATGCTTCTGGTTCTTGGGCTTTTGGACTCAGATGAGGACTTCTCCAACAGCACCCTGATTCTTACGTGTTTGGATTTGAATTGAATTACACCACCAGTTTTCATAGTTCTTCAATTTGCAGATGGTAGATTTTGGGACTCATTGGCCTCTATAACTGCATGAGCCAATTCTTATAATAAATCTCTTTTTATATATCCCTCTCTACATATCCTATTGGTTCTTTTTCTCTGGAGAACTCTGACTAATACACTATGAGGGAAAGAGGGACAAGATGGTTGAGGGTGTATGATAGAGGGTGATTAATATAATGGTCCATGGCACTAAGCTAGTTAAGGGGGGAAGTGAAACAGTGCAGTTATGGATAAAAACATAGTCTAGGGCATGTCCTGAGCATGTGTGATTGAGGTAGAGTAGAAAACAAGATTGGGAAGTATAAGCTAAGAAATTAAAAAGCTTGTGATTGGAAGGACATAGATATTGAAATTGTTAAGTATTAAATATGTCAAGAATAGTATAGGAGAAATTGATAGTGGCCAGGTAATAATATTCTTCAAGGCATGCGAGGGAAGATCCAGGGGTCTGTGATGGCTAAACAAAGAGGAATCGAGGGTAGTGAAATCTGAGGGCATAATTTTCAAGACAAGATTTTTTTTTAAAAAGATTTAATTTATTTATTTGACAGACAGACAGAGAGAGAGAGAGAGAGTGAGAGAGGGAACACAAGCAGGAGGAGTGGGAGAGGGAGAAGCAGGCTTCCCGCTTAGCAGGGAGCCCGATATGGTGCTTGATCCCAGGACTCCAAGATCATGACCTGAGCCGAAGGCAGTTGCTTAATGACTGAGCCACCCAGGCTACCCCAAGGCAAGATTTTTTTTCTTCTTCTTTTTTTTTTTTTAGGAAGAAAGAAAGGATAATATTTTAGAAGTGGCTCTCAGGAGCAGGCAGCACTCCACTGTCTACACTCCAGTATAGACTGAAACGATCTAAGCTCCACTGTAGTCAGTGTTCTATCTGTACTCCAGACTCAGGTACAAGGGCTGTGGGAAATGAAAACAGCCATCATTTGGGGGGGGGGGTTGCTAAAAGGAACAAGGTATTCTCAGGAAAGAGCCAGTTTCAATTAGACCAACAGGTGAAGAGAGTATTCAGAGAAGGGGTGTTTATGGGTGGTTCAGTTGATGGTGCCCTGGGTTCCAGAAGGCATGTTTGAAGGTTTTTGGAAATCAGAGAAGGGTGGGAAATGGAATTCAGTTAAGGGATGCGCAGAGCTGTGGGGAGATGAGGGCGATATGACATGACTTTAGGCTTCAGGTGGTGACAAACATAAACATGGATATTGGGAATGATGGCATTGGTTTTTGTGGTCTCAAAGCAGAGCATGATGGTGAGAATCTGAGCATTAAAGTGGAAGGAGGGGAGAGGATGTGACACAATTTGTGGAGCTCTGGCCATATTTGGACAATTCACTAGCAAGGCTCTTGAATCTTACAGTTTCTTTGTTGGAAGAGTTTTAATTATGGGTTCAATTTCTTTAGTATATACAGGGCTATTCAGATTTTTAATTTCTTTTTGTGTTGACTTGTAACTTGTATTTTTCAGGAAATTTGTCCGTTTTACCAGATTTTTTCAGATAAAATTATTATTTGATTATTGACATCAATTGTTTATTATAGCTTCTTACTATCTTTTTAGTGTTTATACATTTTTAAAAATATTTATTTATTTAAGTAATCTCTATACCCAGTGTGGAGCTTGCACTCATGACCCCAAGACTGAGAGTCACATGCTCCTCTAACGGAGTAAGCCAGGCACCTTAGTGTTTGTAGATTTAATAGTGATATTTTCCTTTTCATTCGTTTTATTGGTAATTTGTGTTTTTTCTTTACTTGATCAGTCTTGCTAACAGTTTATCAATTTGATTAATCTTCTCAAAGACCTAACTTTTGTCTTTGTTAATTGTCTCATTACATATTTGTTTTTTCCTTCACTGTTTTGCTCTGATTTTCTTATTTTCTTTTCTCTACTTTGTTTGGGTTTACTTTGCTATTCTTTTTCTTGATGTAGAAGTTATAGCACAGCTTTTCAACCTTCTTTCTTTTCTCATAAATGTGTTTAGAGCTAAAAATTTTCTGCTTAGCATGTGTTTAGTTGCATTCTATAAGTTTTGATATATCATGTTTTCTTCTGATCAAAATATTATCTAATTTCACTCATAACTTTTTGTTTAACTCAGTGGTGATTTAGAAGTATGTTACTTAATTTCTGAACATTTGGAGCTTTTATAGTTGTCTTTCTGTTACTGAGTTGTAACTTAATTTCCTAAGGTCAGAGAACATATACTATATGTTGTGAATCCTCTGGTAATTTTTGCATGGTATCTTTTCATGAGCTGATTTGAGACACATCTTATAAGTAGAAGCCACACAGTTTAGGAATGGTTTGGTTGGTGGATGGTGAGACAAATGAGTCAACTCTATAAAAGTGATGTTTTTTGGTTTATATGGTTCTTGGCACTTTCTATCTTATGTCAGAATTATTTAGGACTCTATGAGTGAGAGTTAGTGTTTCCAAAACTCATCTGGCCATGAAATTTTCAGAATACTTTGGAAAAATCTAAACTAGACCTTCTCTTTTACTATAGGGAAGGCATCCTACATTAATAATTCATATGTTAAATTCCATAGTTATGGAAACCTCCCTTTATGGCAATTTGCTTTTTCCTATAGGTTAGAGTTTATATCTGCTTTTTTATTTTTTTCCTTTGTGGCCCTTCACTTCATATAGTACACATCTAGTAGATATTTATTGAATGAATGCGTTTGCTAACATAAGGTCAGGAAAATATTGGAGCAGCCAGTAAGTAGAGTTTAATATTTAGAATTTCAGTTTACCTTATAAAGTTGCTGAGATAGACCAAAAAACCAAACATGAAGTGGAATAAATATAGAAAACCCTATTGAAAAAAAATTCAACCAAGTAAATTTGAAGATCTAACTGATTTTATTAAATGATTCATGAATTCGGCATTCCCATCTAGCCACATAAGGTCATCATCAGCCCTGTGGCAGGGGAAGGTTTCAACCTATCTGGAAAACACACATACAAAAACAGGAATATATTGGTAACCCCTATTAAGTGGCAATTGAATAAAGTCCAGCTGCAGGTGTTCAAAGGGTCCAGAGGGAGGACATGTGAGGCCTCTAGGGACAAAAATAATTTTTCTAGGATTATGGACCTGACAGGTCAAAAGTGCCTATAGACTGTTTTTGTAATTTTATAGAAATCTCTCCACCAATGTCTATTCATAATTTGAGTCACTTTAAATGCCCTGTGGTGGGTAAAGGAATGCAAAACCAGACAAATGGAGTTGCTCAGGGAGTAGAAGAACCAAGCAGCCATCTTGGGTTTCCCATAGCCCTGAGTACTCTTTTATTTCCCCCAGGTGTTTTAAGGGTTTTCATTAAGAATATGCTTTTCAAAGTGGCCACATATGAAAGTATATTTAGTATTTTTTAAGGAAATTAGCATTAAACATTTTTATCCTGACAGCACATTTCAGAGAGAATATATTTGATACAAAATGGAAGAACAAAGACTTGACTTTATTCATGCATTTGTTTATGGAAGACTAAATTATGCATAGTAAATTGGTATAATGAAGTCACATGGTAATTTGAAATTTATTATCACTTGGATGTACTGATTAAACTTTGTCTTCCCTCTCTGTGAAAGAAAGAAAGAAAGGAAAGAGCGGTACGTTTTCGTTTTTAGCAAAGTCAAGTATACATAAAGAAAGGGCTTTGCATACTCTTAAGACCACAAAACTACTAGTGTAGAAGTAGCATATATAGACAAACATTGCTTGGGCTAATACAAAAGAGTTCCTAGATTAATAAGTGAATATACTATTTTGTTGTTGTAATTTTAAAAAATTTATTCCTTTTAAGTAGGCTTCATGCCCAACATGGGGTTCAAACTCAAGACCCTGAGATCAAGAGTTACCTGCTCTACTGAATGAGCCAGCCAGACGCCCAAGTGAATGTATTTTTTAAAAAGCAGATGTTGGTATATAAACGGAACTTGAAGGATATATAAGATCAAAATAATGACTTTTTTGACAGAGAAAAGAAGGGTTATTTCAGGATAGTGAAATAACATTGACTAGAATTTTGATATAAGAAGTCCCGTATGACAGTCCTGTTGTTTACCTACCTTAATTTACGATGCAGGAGTAGACTGTTGTCATGTTGGGAGGAAATCAGGATGGTGAAAGTCTGACAGTGAAAGGCCTTTTTTTTTTTTTTTTTTTGCAGAAGCAGAGTGAACTTCATCCACAAGTGCCACAATCTTACAGTACAAAGAAAGCTTAGTTATTACTTATTTGACAATATTTCCCACATAATTTCCATATCAAATAAGCCTCATTAGTTAACAAATCCCATGAAATATTCCAGATCAAAAAGGTCTCATTTACAATTTGATTTTGGGAAGTTTGTAAAAAAAATACAAGAAAAAGGTTTTAAAGCACTTGCCTAAATAATATCACAGATCATTATGAAATTTAATACTTAAAAGGTAAAAAAGCTTTCACAATCTTATCAAAAGCAAACCAAAAGTCTGTGAAACTTTGTCCTTTTAACAGAGAGAAAACCAAATTCTAATTTTCTACCAGCTTACTTTTTATATTAGAACTCATTCTTAAATAAATTCATTTTAATCTTAGCCAGCTTGACCACACATCAAAATTCCTTTTCAAAGATTCCTTGCCACAAACCTTTTACAACTTTCTTTCCCACATTCTGATTTTGTCCTATGTTTTTCCTCTCTCTTTTTTTTTTCTTTAAGATTTATTTATTTATTTTGGAAAGAGAGAGTGCTCGCACACATGAGCAGGGGGAGGGGCAGAGGGAGACAAGCAGACCCCCACCGTGT